GAAGCAACATTGGTGGTCATAAGGGAGCAGTGTTGGTGCCTGGGGGTGTGTGGGGGGGTGGTGAAGAGCTGTTTCCTGTTTCCCAGCTGCTATGCCTGTTTCCACTGGCAGAACCAATGGGCCAAGCACACATGTATAAGCCTCTGTGCTTTATGTTTGTAGTTGCCATTGGTGGGCCTTCCCTCTAGCTGCCCTGACGCCAGAGTAGGGGCTGCCAGTTTGGGAGCTAGGTGCGCCTGGCTGGGAGGAAGGCGTGGCAGGTTGTGTATCATGGTGGGGAGCCTTGGAGCTGCATAGCTAGCTGGGGGATAGAGCATATCAAGATTGTGAAAGTTCCCAACCTGCTGGGCAGAGTGCACCCGGACAATTTTGTCTACCTGTCCTTTCTCCTGAGCAGTAAGCTCTGTGCAGTCGTTGTCCCTTTAGCATCCCTCTCACTTTTAGGAAGTCTCTCAGACTGCCCACCCAGATCAGCTGTATATGAATCCCTGTTTTCCACAAGTAGCTTGAATCTCAGTCTCTCCAGGTATTCTGCCTGTCTTACCTTTCCAACCCCAGTAATTACCAGCGCACCATGCAATGTAGTTTCATGCTCCCAGAGGAAATCTCCATGGCTAGGTGTTCAGCAGTCCCAGGCCTCCACTCCCTTCCTGCTCTGTTTCTCTTCCTCCTGCCAGTGAGCTGGGGTGTGGGAACTGCTTAGGTCCTGCTGCTTCACGGCTTCGGTACATTACCCTGTTCTGTGAGGTCTGTTCTTTCCTCCAAGTGTATGCAGTCTGGCGCAGCCTTCTTTCCTGATGTTCTTTCAGGATTAGTTATATCAATTATATTTTCATATTATTTGTGCTTTTAGGAGTTCTCTGTCTCACCTCTCACGCTGCCATCTTTAATCCCTTCATCCTCTTAACTTTTCATTTTTAATAAATACATTTTAGGGATACATTTTTTCTTGTTATCATTTGATTACATCTCACATGTGTTGTGACACATGCTTTTATTTTTTAGTTTAAAATTTTATAATTTTCATTTAAATGTTTTTATTCATTTTAGCATTATATGGAGGTCTTGTTTTAATTTCTGTGAAGCATTTTAAAGCTTTTCTTATGTAGAGTCTTAATTATGTTCCTTTATGGTTAATAAATATGGACTTCATGACTTTTGGAATTTTTTGAGACCACTTGGGACTTTTAAATTTGGTTATGTGCGTGTTCTACCTATATTTGAAAAGCATGTGTATTCTGTCTTAGTTATGGAGTTGTGTATTATAACAAGCTTAGAATAATTATATCATGCATATGTTCTACTTCCTTTTCTTTTAATCTACCTGATTTACCCATTTTTAAAGTGTCAACACCTCCTGTGAGTGTAGATTTGTCTTTTTCATTACATTTGTATTACTTTTTGCTTCCTCAACTTTAAAGCTTTATTGTTTGTTAATTCTACATTTTATCTACTGTAAATACTATACACTGGGTTTTGTTTCGCAAGTTTTTTTCAATTTGGTGAAACACTTTTTCATATAGTAAAAGGGTCTAACTAGTTCACATTCACCATTGTTTTTTATTTACTGCCTTTTTGTTTGATTCCTCCTGTTAACCCTACTTTCCGTTGCTGTTGACCAAGGTTTTCTTATTCCATTTTTTCCCTAAAGTTATATATTCTAATATATTCTAAGCCTATTCTACTGATTACTCTTAAAGTTTAAGTAACATATTTTTCTTTTAAAAGTTCATCATTATTTTTATTCTTTCCATTAAGATAAAAATCTTAGCAAGCTTTTTATTCTTCTCTTCATGTCAGTATCATGACATTTACTTGTTATTTATTTTTACTTGTTAGGTATTTAAAGTGTTACTTTTTTACTGTTTGTGTTCATGAGGAATATTGTTCTGTTAGGTCTTTTTGTACTATCTGCCTTGGTTATCAGGATAATTCTATATAAAAGTGGAGTGGTCTCTATTTTTTTGTTTTTTGGGTTTTTTTGCAGGGTTGGGGAAGAGCTTGTATACAGTTGGTGTAGTTCTTTAAACATTCTGCATAGTTCTCAAGTAACTATCTGGGTCTGGAGATTTCTTTTTTGGGGAGTGTTAAAATTGTTAATTCAACTTAATAGTTACAGGGCTATTCAATTTCTCATATCGATAAGTTGTGGTAGTATTCTTTGAGGATTTTCTTAATTTTGTCTAAGGTGTCAAATTTATGTGTGTATAAATTCTCTTAATATCTTTTTGATATCTGTAGGATCTCTACTGATAAGTGATCCCCTTGTTTTATTCCTCATATTGGTAATTGTGTCTTCTCTTTTTTTTGTCAGTCCTGCTAAAGGTTTAATTTTGTTGCTTTTTTCAAAGAACCTGCTCTTTGTTTCATTGATTTTTTGTTTTTCTATATTCAGTTTCATTGGTGTCTGTTGGTATCATTATAATTTCCTTTCTTCTGCTCTATGTGGATTTATTTTGCTCTTTTTCTAGTTTCTTCAGTTGCAAGCTCCAATTATTGATTGATTCAAGACTGTTTTTCCTCTTGTGTATGCATTTAATGCTGTAAATTTCCCTCATCACTACTTTAGTTGTGTCCCACAAATATTTTTGTGTTGTAATTTTATTTTTCAGTTAAATGTGCTTTTCTTCCCCTGCTTTTCTTAAAACTCTGTTTATTTACCTGTTGATGGATATTTAGGTTGTTTTTGGTTCGTGGCAATTACCAATAAAGCTGCCATGGGTATTCTTGTAAATATTTTTGTATAAACATATATTTTCATTTCTCTTGGATAATTTCCTAGGAGTAGAATATCATAGATGTACATTTAACTTTTGAAGGAGTTACAAATTGCTTTCAAAAGTAGTTGTAACTTATAGTGGTTATAATTGATAAAAATTGACTTGTGATAGCTTGGAATTTTTTGTTTTATGGTCCTTCACCATAAATAGTTTGAGAAACACTGCTTGGAGTAGAAGTAGCCTGGAGGAGTTAGATTTGGGTAGCTACAAGGACTCTTGTTACATTGTGTGAGATAAAGCAGAATGAGTATAGATAGAAGGAGGTAGGGTGATGGATTTCAGGAAAAGTACTCTGATTTTAACCATGCTATTACTGAAGCGTGAGATGGAGTTCAAGCTGAGCAAGTAGAGGGCCTCCAGCAATGAAAGGATTGAGGAAGGTGGAAAGGATGGGAACTCATCTCAGAATGAGAGCACGCATTTATTAGAGATATTTAAAAGGTTTGTGTGATTGTTTTGAGTGCCCATTTAAGTTTTGTGGCCATAAATTTGAAATGGGACCTGTTTTTGAGAGTTCAGCTGTTTATGTAAAAATAAATGGAAGTAAGGTATCTAGTTAGGTTTAATAAGGACAAGGCTTTTTCCTGGCCAGTGTGACATTGGCATGGTGGAGTGTCAAGGGAATGGTTCTAGTAATGGGTGTGGAACGTTAGTCAGTTAAGAAAATAAAGGGATGAAAGATTGTGAAAGGTGGTGGTGTCAATGGGTTGCAGGACCTTGTGGGATCAAAGGGTAGTTGAAATGAGAATACTGTAGTCAGTAAAATGGAAGGGAAGGAAATAGTAATCAAAGAGTAGGATTGTAGAAATACAGTTTTCAGAGGTGGTATGATTTTTGGTGACTTACATGATCTAGAATATTGTAGGAGATGGTGGCTAAGGAGGGGTTTATGAAATGATGGTTGAAGTTGAAGAAATCAAAGAACACAGAGGCCAAAGAATTAGATTGATTTTTCTCTGCTTATGTTGAAGTTCCATGATATGAGGCATAGTGATGACAGCTGAATAGTGAGTCAGGTGCTAAAGTCTTCAGTGAACACAGAGGTGAGGAAAGATTTTGAGGGAGGTAGTTAACACAGTAACAAAGATAATGAGTGGTAGAGTCTGACTCCATGGTCTTCAAAGGAACCTAAGTGGGGCTCAGTTAGCAGAGGAAGTAGTACAGCGGAGATTAAGGAGCCCACCCTCACCTCCGAGTCCTGAATCACTCTGAAGAATTATGGCAGGAAAAGGTCGCCACTGGAGAGGGCTCTAGGGAGAAGTGTCTTCCAGGAATAGCTAATTGTCAGAACAAGAAGAGAGAACAGCCAGAGAAACTGAAGATATAAGCGGAATGGAAGACAGGATCTAAGCTTCCTCAACAAGGAGACTTGAACATTTAAAGACATGGTATCAGGAGAAGAAAGCACTTCATATCCTAGTGAAGATGGGTGGTCTGGAAGGCTTGGACTCACTGTACCTGAGCCAAACACACATATAATGGGGTTAGTCATAGTAGTTTCTTGGGTCAAGTTGGCAGATGAATTAAAGGTTAGAGTTCAGGAAACTTAGGTGGAAAGACAGGGACCATTGGGCTGCTTTCAGTTTCTCAGTGCGGAAGTCCTTCTGAACAAACTACTTTGGTAGCCCCATGAGTTCTGGTAGGTTGGTGCTCTCCATTTTGCTGAGAGAACAAAGGTTATGCTTGTTAAAATTCTTGTCCCTATTTCATGGACTTTGACTTCCCCATTTTTCTGCCATTCTAAATTTTATATCTGCCTTGTGTGACATGCCTGTTTATTCTCTTGAATGCCTTGGACTTCATGGGTTATCTGGCTGAACACTACAGCTTCTTTTCTGCTTCCTTACTTTAAGATCATTGAACATTAGTGAAAATCTGTCAGACTGCATGACTTTTAATTTCAGTCTTACAGTGCATAGTATGCATTTGCTTCCTATAAATATTTAGAAGTCTGATTGGCTTTATAAATATTTTGTTCAGCAAATATTTAGTAAGTGCTAACTATGCCAAGCCTGTTTTAGGTACTTGGAAAATATTAGTAAACAAAAGATAGACTGTTATTCCTATCACACTGTCAATTCTAGCAGGATACTATTTAGTGAGGAAAACACCTGTTTTCTTAGACTGTTTGCATTTTTAAAACTATATTACTGTAAAAACCTTATAAACCAGGAGAAAAAAAAAACATCTCTAGTACCTAACCTGCTTTTGTTTTACTAGATTGAGGAACTTCAGCAGGCTTTAACAGTAAAACAAAACGAAGAGCATGACCGACAGAGGAGAATAAGTAATACCCGGAAAATGATAGAAGATTTACAAAATGAACTGAAAACCACAGAAAACTGTGAGAACCTTCAGCCCAAGATTGATGCCATTACAAATGATCTGAGAAGAGTTCAAGATGAAAAGGCATTATGTGAAGGCGAGGTAATTGATAAGCGAGGAGAGAAGGAAACTCTAGAGAAGGAGAAAAAGAGTAAGTTTCTTAAATGTAGGATGAAGAGATGTTTATAAAACGGAGATATATCTCTGTTGATGGGCTTTCTTCTCCTGATACCATGTCTTTAAATGTTCAAGTCTCCTTGTTGAGGAAGCTTAGATCCTGTCTTCCAAGTTAACACCTTAATTACTTATATCTATCATGTTTTGCCACTGGCTGACTAATATCTTAAATCATGATAGTTGATTTGATCTCTAAAAGTACCTTCCTTTATTTTCTTTACAGTCAGTTACTATTATTTATCAGATCAAATTTAAGCTCTTCATTCTAGCCTTCATAAAACTTCCATTAGCTTTATTCCCTGAAACCTGTCCAATTTCATCTGTTTTATTCCTGTAGACAATGTGGATAGATCTATAGCATTATTGAGACAGAGGAAGTCTCATACTGTCTGCTCAGTATATATGACATAAGATATGCTAAACAAGAAAAAATTTTTTTTAATCAGACTACTAGATGTATATGTATGATTTAAAAGAAATAATCTAAAACAGAAAGGTGGCCCAACCGCCTTGATAACTATAGCCCCACTTTCAGAAATAATTATTAACTATTAGTAACTTAACTATTTCAGCAGTTTTTTCTAACAGTCCTTCACATATTTTCATCATATGCCTATTTCAGTATGGCTTGATTAATCACTTTTAGACGTTTTCTTTTGATATTTTGTTACTTTAGATGTGTATTTCAGTTCCTATAACTCCCCTCCCTATATTCCTCAAATGAGATTGTTAATATTAGTTTTTAATCATAAACATTTACTAAAATTTACCATAATATTTTTGTCATTTAACAAGTGTCAATATTGCTTGAATATGCACTTTGTAGTTAAAAATACTAGTACTCTCATTCTTCCTTTTTACTTTCTTCCCCTCTGACATTCTAAATTCTCTAATATGTACTCTGGTTTTTATACTTCTCATGAAAATATTTTATTGAGAATCATAGTCAAGTTTTATGTACTCTATTAATGGGTTAATTTTAAAAGCTAGAAATACTAAGTATCATTCATGTTACTACAATAATGAAACGTTTGCAGAATTATGGTGCAGGTATATACTGTATAGCTTTGTATATATACCATATATACACACATATATGTAATGCATTATGATCTAATTTACTTTCCTTGGTATATTTTTAAAAGTTTTAATTTACCTTTTTTGTAAAAACACCATTGGCTTTAGGATTTCCTTAAATAGGAAGAAAAAAAAAGCCTACTATTCCTGAATGCCATCTCTTCATTTTTCTTGGCATTACTCGTTTTGTTAGAGTACATCTTTAGGTAGCCTCTTAAGAGATGTTTGGAAGGAGAATCTTTGCATCCCTGAAAATACCTTTATTTCATTATCCCCTTTTCTCAGCTTTGTTGTATATATCTTTACAGGTTGAAAATAATTTTCCTCAGAGTTTAGAAGGCCTGTTGTGGTTGCTGGTAGATCTTTTGTTTTCTCGTTCTTTTGTATGTGGCATAGTATTTATTTTTGATAGCTCAAAGATCATCTTTTATCCCAGGTGTTTGAAAATTTGAGAATGATTTGTCCAGGGTGGGTCTTTCTCATTATGTTGGGTATTTGCTGAGTGGTGTTTGTAACTTTTAGATCTGAGATACTCTTTTATAATGTTAAGAGATTATTTCACTAACTACAGTTTCCAGAGAAGCAATAGTTTGTTTTATTTTCCAATTTTAGGTGTGGCTGCTCATATTGTACGATTTGATAATCTTATGAATCAAAAGGAAGATAAGCTGAGACAAAGATACCGTGACACATACGATGCTGTTCTATGGCTAAGAAATAACAGAGACAAATTTAAGCACAGAGTCTGTGAACCTATAATGCTCACCGTAAGAAATTTTGTTAATCTTGGTAGCTTCTGTTTTATTATTCCAGTCATTGTAGACTTTTGTTGTTTTAGGAATTCTTAGTCTCATTAAAACCCTAGTTTTCTATTATCAGACCTGTGGCAACTGCTATACTGTTGAAGCCATACATGAGCTTTTAAAGGGGCCTTTATTCAATAAACTTGTGGACTTTTTCTAGAAATAAGTATGGAACTATCAGCTTACTGACCAAGAATCATGTATAAAAATTAGCCTGCTTAGCTGGTTCCTTCTGGCAATTGCTATTCTTAGGATATAACAGGCAATAGATTAAATGCTGCCAAAGGAGTAGAAAAAGCATAAATAAAAATGTTGATACGCACCTGACAGAAGATGGACAAGAAAATCACTTGCTATAAAAGTAGAGCATTCTGAGAATGAAACCAACAATTTATTGACCTCATAAACATTTGATAACTTGGTGATAATTATATTTCATTAAGAAAAGGGTAAACTATATTTAGCAAATCATGTAGTGAACTATGGCCATGGATCTGGTAGGAAGGATTTCATCTAAAACATCTAAAATAGTAATTTTGGCTATGGAAGGAGATGAAAAAGTGAAAATCACATTTTTGGTAATAATATGTTAGATAGATATACATATGTGATATAAACTTAAAACCCAACAGGGACCTAAGCATTTTTTTTTGTTATCATTAATTTACAATTACATGAAGAACATTATGTTTACTAGACTCCCCCCTTCACCAAGTCCCCCCCAGAAACCCCATTACAGTCACTGTCCATCAGTGTAGTAAGATGCTGTAGAATCACTACTTGTCTTCTCTGTGTTGCACAGCCCTCCCTGTGCCCCACCAACATTATACCTGCTAATTGTAATGCCCCCTTTCTTTTTCCCCGCCCTTATCCCTCCCTTCCCATCCATCCTTCCCGGTTCCTTTCCCTTTGTTAACTGTTAGTCCATTCTTGGATTCTGTGATTCTGCTGCTGTTTTGTTCCTTCAGTTTTTCTTTGTTCTTATACTCCACAAATGAGTGAAATCATTTGGTACTTGTCTTTTTTTGCCTGGCTTATTTCACTGAGCATAACACCCTCTAGTTTATCCATGTTGTTGCAAATGGTAGGATTTGTTTTCTCTTATGGCTGAATAATATTCCATTGTGTATACGTACCACATCTTCTTTATCCATTCATCTACTGATGGATACTTGCTTCCATTTCTTGGCTATTGTAAATAGTGCTGTGATAAACATAGGGGTGCATCTATCCTTTTCAAACTGGATGTATTCTTAGGGTAAATTCCTAGAAGTGAAATTCCTGGGTCAAATGGTATTTCTATTTTGAGCATTTTGAGGAACCTCCATATTGCTTTCCACAATGGTTGAACTAATTTACATTCCCACCAGCAGTGTAGGAGGGTTCCCCTTTCTCCACAACCTTGCCAACATTTGTTGTTGTTTGTCTTTTGGATAGTGGCGATCCTTACTGGTGTGAGGTGATATCTCATTGGGGTTTTAATTTGCATTTCTCTGATGACAAGCAATGTGGAGCATCTTTTCATGTGTCTGTTAGCCATCTGAATTTCTTCTTTGGAGAACTGTCTTTTCAGCTCCTCTGCCCATTTTTTAATTGGATTATTTGCTTTTTGTTTGCTGAGGTGTGTAATCTCTAAGGATTGTTTTTGTTAAATAATTTTTTCACTTTAGAAAAGAATGCAGTATAGATCCTTGCAGGATTCTTGAAAAAGTCCTCTTTTCTATAAGTCATATTTGTGTTATACTTTATTATTATATCTTACATTATATTAGCAAAATTATATAATACTGTATTCTCTTCTTGCTCAAGTATGTATTATTAGAATATTTTTGCCAGATCAAGAAGGGAATATCTATTTTGGATGCAGTCATAATTGTTTTGATTAATCTGATAAGGACTGAAAGAAAGTACAAGAAAAATTTTGTGATCTTTATATAGTAAGTGATAATCCAAGTATAATTGTCATCAGATTTTTATCAAAATGCCAACCTCCAAATAGTATTTTAGAATTTTGTACTAATAGCCTGTCATCAAGTCAGGCTACTAGCTGGCATACTCTGCTTTTTACCTTTTTGGAATAATCTTTGTACCACCTCCTTCCAACTATATATCCCCCTCCTCTACAATGTACACACCGACCATTCAAGATCTAGTTGCAATGATACCACCTCCAAAGGTAATTTAGCAATACATAAACTTAAAATTTTAGTCATATAATTGTCAGTTAGCAATTGATTTCCATGAGTTACCTCTAACCATTCCAATCTAGAATTGGAGAAGTGTGCAAAGATTTATTTACAGTCCTACTCCTCACAGTAGGAGTGTTTATAATAGAATGATGGGGCAAAAACAAAATTTCCAAAGATACAATTGGTTACATAAATTATATTGTTATAATAGAATACTATGCAGCCATTAAAAGTTACTGTAGGTTTCTATTCAGTGATATAAAAGGATGGTTATGACATGTTAATGAATTATAAAATGTATTACAGAATACAATGTATAGAAAGATTGCATTTTTAAAAATTGAAACAGGAGTCTGCCATCAGACACCAGATCATCTTGGAGAGCAATAGGCTCCTATATCTACCTGTCTGTATCTTACTACTTTGTGAAAGATGTGGTTTTGAAGAGCTTTGCCAGATATTTTCTTTACCAGTGTCATGAGGTGAAAGAAGGAACATGCTGATAAAGCTGCAGAACCAACAGGGTGTCTAAATCTTCATTCAAGATATTGGGAAACAGACTGTGAATGCAGTGGAATGTGCATTACCCTTGGGGAAAGGTGTGAATCAGTCACTACTGGAAATGCGCAAACTGGCCAGTGACAAAAAGGACCTTAATTGTATGACTTCCTTGAGACTCATTACCTAAATGAGCAGGTGAAATCCATCCAAGAATTGAATGACCATGTGACCAACTTACACAAGATCAGGGCCAAACCTAGAATTTCTCTTGAAAGCACTAAATAGTTACAATTAGTCTATAGCAAGTTTTTTCATTAGTTTCATAGTTTTATTCAGTTCTTTATGGTTTTGTCCTGATCAGTTATTGCCGGTATAGTATAAGTTCCTTTTGAAGATTATAAAGAAAAATATTACAAGTTTGGAGACAGATGAGAAATGTTTATACTCTTAGGTTACAGTCTAAGCCTATTGCAGATGTTTTCAGTCAAATGTTTTCAGTGAGTTGACTAGAAAAAAAAAAGTTATTTCTTAATAGCAAAGTCAGAATGCATCAGGTACTCTTCAAGTCTTGGCTTTTGTTTTACTATGTTTTGGATGTTTCTGAGTAATAGGTATTTTAAAGTGTTGACTCTTCAATACCAAGTTCTTTTATTACTTCCCTTTTCTCAAGTATTAAATTTAGTTAAGTAAATCTAAGTATAATAATGTAGTAGTTTGGGTTTCATGAAAATCAACTTACATTTTCTTTTTGTTTGTATAGATCAATATGAAAGATAATAAAAATGCCAAATATATTGAAAATCATATTCCATCAAATGACTTGAGAGCTTTTGTATTTGAAAATCAAGAAGATATGAATGTTTCTGAGTAATAGGTATTTTAAAGTGTTGACTCTTCAATACCAAGTTCTTTTATTACTTCCCTTTTCTCAAGTATTAAATTTAGTTAAGTAAATCTAAGTATAATAATGTAGTAGTTTGGGTTTCATGAAAATCAACTTACATTTTCTTTTTGTTTGTATAGATCAATATGAAAGATAATAAAAATGCCAAATATATTGAAAATCATATTCCATCAAATGACTTGAGAGCTTTTGTATTTGAAAATCAAGAAGATATGGAGGTTTTCCTCAAAGAGGCAAGTACTAGCCAACATAATACTTTGACTTACTTGGCACTTACCTTCCAGTGCTTGAGTTTTAACTCTGAAGTAGAACAAAAAAATGAAATGACTGATTTTACCAGTAGTAGCTCTTGTGTAAAGTCAATGTTTTGCTAATTTCTTTCCTATCTATGCCATTAAGGAATGAATTTGTTTTACAGGAGGGAAAAAAAAGCCCCAAATTCCATCTGATACATATTTTGAAATGATCATTTGGAATTAATATGAAAAGTAATTTTATCACATTGTTTTAAGAGAAAGAAACATAATGATGGGCCTTTTGTCTTGGACATCCTTTTTGAAAATATATTACAGTGAACTCAGTTTTTCTGTGGTAGAGATATCCTATTGATATAAATAAAACCTCTTTACAAAGAATGAGTCCTATATCTACTTAGATAAAAAATTCCACTGACGGAGAATCTAAGCCACTGAAAGTAGCATGGCTTAGTAGTTAAGAGCGTAGACTCTACAGATAGGCTGCCAGGATTTGAAATCTGGCTTTCCTACTAACTTGGGCAAGTTGCCTTAATGTTTTGTGACTTTCCTCATCTATAAAATGGAAATAATATTATCTACTTCAAAAGATGTTTATGAGGACTAAATAAATAAATGAAAAGTATTTAGAACAGTGCTTGTTAGCTATTACTATTATATATTGTTACATATCTACATAATATATGTTGTCAGCTATATATGTTGTTATTGTAAGATTTCTTTTTTCTTTTGCACATGCCTCCTACTTCTTTAAAAGCCCCAAAAAGAGGTTTAGATGTTCTTTTGTTTAAACCTTTGCTAGTAGGTCCAAGTAAGGACAGGGCTCTGAATCAGCTCAAGTCATTTCCTATTTCTCTGGAGCACAGTGATTAGAAAGAATCCTTACTTACTTTGGCTTTTACCATATTGCTCTCCTTCTAGTTGGGGAGTTGCAGAGAATGTGAATGTAAGGTGATGGGATAAAAAAGTTAGATGTAGTGGACTCTAAACATTTGTGTGTTTTAGAACTATTTAAGCCTAATCAGTGGAGTTACTGATCTGGTGTCAGAGCTCATTAAAGAACTGAGTTGCTTGTATTACAAGTAAGTCTGAGATATGGCTCACTGTGAAGGGCATTCATCAGGTGTAATTAGACTATTTCTGTTTGCAAATGACCAGCTTAGCCTACACTGAGCACCTTGATTTTCCTCCAATACTCATGCTTCTTCTGTGCTGAGAATTTATATTAATAATAATTGATGTAGGTTCTTAAAAATTTGATCTCTATTTTTTTCTTGTGCTGTAACTACTTTCCATAGCTTCTCATCAATAGAACCAGTACTTAACATTGCATGACTTTGTGTGTGTATTCTAAATTCTGAATTTATAGTATATAACCTCCTCCTGTATTTGAGTACAATTTCTTATTTTAGTAACTTAAAAACCATCCTCACAGTTTTTGCTATTTGTGCATACTACCATGTACTACCATCAACAGTTTTTTGCCATACCTGCGTACTAACTGTAAATCACTTCACTTTTTGTTGCTCAAAGTATTCTAAAAGTATAATGTTACTATCAAATGATAAAGATAATTTGCGTAACAACAAAGACAAACAATGTTAGTAAATCCTAGACCCCATACTGCTGCTTAGTGAAACCAAGTAACAGGATTTCTTAAAGGGGAGATACTAAGGAGTTATGGACATGCAGACCATGTCCTGCAACTTTCTCCTCTAGAAATATTGAAAGGGAATTGAAATGGAAATTACTTCCCATTGTATAATTCAGTTTTATTTACTGTAACCTCTAAAACCATGGATTTTTTTTTAAAAAAAACTTCAGTGAACCCTTCATACTAGTATTTTTGATACATTGATTCATGGTCAAGATTGTTTCATGTCTACCTCCACTTCTCTCTCTTTTTTAAAATTCTTAATTTGATACAACTTCAAACTCACAAAAAAGTTACAAAAATCATATATATAATATCTATATGTCTTTTACCCAGATTCACTGATTACTTATATTTGTCCTATTGGCTTTATTATTTCTCTATCACAAGTCCAATTAGATTTGCTATGACTCAGTATGTATATTCCTAAAAATCACTATGCTGTGCAAAATTGTGCAGTAAAAACCCACAGGGCCAGTATCAGGGAAAGAGTAGCACATTTACACATGTTAAATTGTTGAGAAATACACATACAGTAAATATGGTGCTTTGTTTTTAAAAAGATGTGTAAGTAGGCATTTGGAAGGGTTCTATTTGTGAATTGTAAAGCAATTAAAAACACCCAAAATGGGATGGAAAGTTGTAATACTAAATAGGGTTGAGTGTGGCTAATAACAGATGTGGTAAACTGAGATAGCTGGTAGATGTTTAAGAGGAGGGTGTATGTGTCTGTGCACAAATTATGTATATTCCTAGTTTCTGCATTCACTAGAGAAAAACCTCGTGTAACTGCACACAAGCAGATATGAATTCACATAACACTTAATTTGTCCCCTCATATATCAATTGTTTGGAACAAATTTGTGTCAGAACAAGCATTATACCAGAACTGTTTTTCTTTTTGTAATTTTGTATGTGGAGTTACTTTGAGACTTTGAAAATATCCTGTTCCGCATGAAACTACCTAGTAGGTTTAAGAACGATTTATGATTTGATTCTAACTCAGAATGCCAATTAATATATAGAAGGAATGACTATCATAAGAAAGAACTTTTTCTTCTCTATTTATTATATCGTAGATTCACAAAAGTTTATGGAATTATATCCATTACTATAATTTATTTTAATGCTCAAATTGTTCCTGATTTGGCCTGTGAGACATTCAGATTGACTCCCATGCCCTGTTAACATTTTGTCACTGTATTTTGAGCACAACTTCAGCTTTTTGGCACAGTAAGATGTTGATGCATCTTGAACCTACCCTGGGCCTTACAATCAGCCTTTTTCCCAAGGAACTCTTAGTTTCTTTTAGAAACCAAGGTCTGGGTACTAGATGTGTTCATTGCTGCTAGTGTCTCATTGCTTCTAAACCCTTGCTTGCAAACCCTTATATTTATTTCTGTATTTATCTGGAGAGCGGGAGTATAAGTACACCATGATTTCACCCTTTCAGTTGTAATCCAACACAACAGGGTACCTTCTAGTCTGTTGTCTTTGTATATTTGTACTTTCCTACCACAGCAGTGAAAAATAGCCCCCCATCAGTGTATTCACTCACTTGTTCAAGTCTAGAATGCTGAGAGAGGAGTCTCAGAATTGCTAGTGTGTACCACCATAAAATCACTCCATTCCACTATCCCATCATGCTTCCATTAATTTCTCTCAGCATTGTTTTGTCTTTTTCAGTGTAAAAGTATTGCATGTCTTCTGTAAATGTGTTCCTAATATTTGACATTACAAATTATTTCTGAAATTCGTTTTCCTGTTCATTGCTAGTGCATAGACATACAGTTGATTTTTTTTGCATTGACCTTACATCCTGTGATAGTAGTTTAATTCACTTACTGCATTCTAGTAGTTGCTTTGTAGATTCCATGGTATTTTCTATGTAGAAAGTCTTATCTTTGCAAATAGATCTTTTCACTTGTTCCTTTTCAATTTTTTACTTCTTTATTGTGCTTCACTACAATGGCTAGTACTCCAGGACAGTGTTGAAGAGATGTGGTAAGATTAGATATCCCTGTTTCTTCCCAGTGTTAGGGGGAAAGTACTCAATTTTTACCGTATTTCACCAATATTTTTTTGCTGTGCATTTATCATAAGTGCCCTCTGTCAGACTGAGGAAGTTTCCTTCTGTTCCTACTTTGCTGAGATCTTTATCATGAATGACTGTTGAATATTGTCAAGATGTTTTTTAACGCATCTACTGAGATGATCGTTTGGCTTTTATACTTTTTTCTGTTTATAGATTGGTTTTTGAATGTTACACCAATCTTGCATTCTTGGGATAAACTCTACTTGGTTGTATATAGTGTTCATATAATGCTGGATTCTGTTTACTAGTGTTTTGTTAGGGATTTTGCGTAAGTGTTCATGAGGGATATTGTGTTTTTGTCAGGTTTGGGGGTCCATAATTATTCTGGAACCATAAAATAACTTGGGAAATGTTCCTTCTTCCTGTTTTGTGATAGAGTTTTGGTATTACTAATTACTTAACTTCGATAGAATTTATCAATGACAATAATAAATGTACTCTTTCTGTAAAAACATATAACCACAATATAAAAACACCTAACAATAACATTATTACACTAAAGATTTTTCTTAAAAGGACCATTGAATATCCAGTCAGTGTTCAAATTTCTGATTATCCCATGAATGCCAGTAGGAATACAGTAATTTTAAAAATCATTTTGATTGATAGTATATGGTAATTCAAATAACATTTTCTTTCCCTTATATTCAGGTTCGTGACAATAAAAAATTAAGAGTAAATGCTGTTGTTGCTCCCAAAAATTCACATGCAGACAAAGCACCTTCACGATCTCTGAGTGAACTCAAGTAAGATATTACTATAACCTGTTACTTTGAATACTGAGTAGTAGTATTTACCTCCTACATATATTTTAATTATCTTTGTCACATACATTTACATTTGTTATATGGTATATTATTCCCTTTTAGGGTCTCTACTTAAGTCTAAAATAAGGAAAAATCTAGGCCCTAAAACAGACCAAAGTATACTTAGTATATAAGGATTTTTCAAATCAGTGTAACATTATTGAACTTTAATAAATTTAGTAACTAAAATAGTTGGTTAGTTACTGGGAAAATAAAATAATAAACTATCACTTCATAATGCAAAAATAATTTCTAGAATGACTAAATGGAAAATTTGCAGTTAAGAAACAGTAAATATAATTTAAGTAACTATCTTAACTCTGGATGTTAAGTAGACATTCTAAATATAAAAGCAGTGGATTATAGTTTATAATCTAATATATCAATCATTTAATATTAAATGATTTAAAAACACAAAAGAGATTTACTGTGCCATCATTAAATAATGTTTTCCTATCATTTGTCAGCTACTGAATGTTTTAAATTGATATTTTACTAAAATCCAGTAAGTGCTTTTCCTTTCAGGCAATATGGATTTTTCTCTTACTTGCGAGAGTTATTTGATGCACCTGATCCTGTCATGAGTTACCTTTGTTGCCACTATCACATTCATGAAGTCCCTGTAGGAACTGAAAAGACCAGAGAAAGAATTGAACGGGTAAGAAAGTAATGAATTAGTACCAAAAGCATACATAGTTTTGCTAAAACTAGTTAGCTTAAAGTTAAGCAAAAATTGTGGGAAATTCAAAGTGTGTGATTCTGTTTTTACCCACACAGAAATTCTCTTCATAACACAGAATAGCAGCTGTTGAATAATACTTTATGACAAGTATGATGTGGAGTTAACCTAGAGTAAATAAATACTTTATACTTGTAGGTATAATGGTATAAAGTTAAAACCTGAGATGAGATACCTGGCGCTCCTACCTCATTCTCCCTTGCTTGACAGACGTATGTTTAAACATTATATTAGTGGTTTAATCATTTAAATTCTTATGTCCTAGATTATCTTTCAGATAATCATACTTTAGGATGGTAGGCTAGGATATAGAACTGTTTTGGTAAGTATTCCTCTTCTTAAAGCTTACACATAATATCATCTCATATTTGAATGACTACCCTTCATACAATCTCATTTTCCTAGCTAGATAAGCACATAAACTCTTAGTTTATATAATTCTGCTAATGCATCTTGGAGTTTTCTTGTCCTTACAAGTAATCTCCAAGCCTTAAGCCGCATTTGCTGCTTTTATCACAGGCAGAAGCAGGGAAGATATCTCTTCTAAAACAGGTTTTCCCGTAACACCAAGTTGTGTATTGATATTGCTTCTAATCATCTAGAATCTAATTACACACCTAACTGCTATTTGTTACATTGAATTTATTAGAATATGTCTTTAGAAATTTTAACAACCAGTATACAAGTAGCCTAGGATAATTCATTAGTAATTTCGGGGTTCTACATACTTCATTAACAGAACATAGAAATGAAATTACCAACTCATTTTGCAACAACAGGCTAATTACAATAAGTTGCCCATGTCTTTGATTATAAATTATTTCATCATATGGTGATCATTTGGGAAAATCACAAGTAGAACTCTTCATTTCAATTTAGTGGTGTTCGGAAAAGAGGGTAAGTTAAGATCATATGCATAGACCAAACCAATTTCTGTCACAGCTTGCATAACATACCTAGATAATGACAACAACTGTATTTCTTCCTTAGAATAAAAATACATTCTCTATTGTAAGTTCTGCCTTATTATCTGGTTCTAACATTTTAGGTTCTCTGACAGTGATTATACCCTAATTATGGAATTGTTCTCATTATTTTTTAAGACTCTTCTATTTGGTTAAATTGTTGAACTCTGTAGCTCGTGATGCCCTTTTTGCTAGGAATGCCCTTCCCTCACCATCTCTGTCAGTTTAAATCCATTTAAAACATTTTCATGAAACTGCGGTGGTCTAACTTCATCTAGGCTTTTCCTTCACTCCCAGCTTGCTCAGCCTTTATCGGTGCTGGTTTATACCCTGTTGAACTAAGTGTGCTGAAATATGTCTTTCTCTGTACTTAGCCTATGAACTTCTGGAGAGAAACAGGCCACAAGAGTATTGTAATGAACCTTCAGAGATTGGAAAAAACTGCATTACAGCAGCCTTTTCCTTATAAACATAAAGAAATAGATCTAATAATATTACTGTGTTAGAATGCTTTCTTTACCAAAAATGAAAAAAAAAATGTTGCAATCCTTGAAAAGTGTTTTCATTCTCCCAAATATACAGGAATTAAATAGAAGAGATTATCTATCTTTGAACAATGTAGCAGGGGAGGAGAGAGTAAATGACTTAGTTGAGATACCACAGTTCAGTCAGCTGGGAGCTGACTCCCAGTATCTCTTCTGTAGATTAACAAAGCTCTGAAAGGACACTTACTTGGGAGAGATTGTATAGTGAAGTATAGCTGACTTTGCTGTTTGTTTTAGTTTTCTCCCAATTCTTTCTTCCTTAGTGTTGTTTTCCAGAATAATCATCTGAAATGTATCAAAATGTATCAGCTGTCTTTTTAGAGGTGCCATTGATCTAAAATTCACTTGGTCTGTATTTTTATCCTTTTAAAAATTATCAGGTGTGCACTAATACTTGTTTTACATTGTAGGTAATACAAGAAGCCCGATTAAAACAAATTTATACAGCAGAAGAAAAGTATGTGGTGAAAACTTCTCTTTATTCAAATAAGGTTATTTCTAGTAATACATCCCTAAAAGTAGCTCAGTTTCTCACAGTCACTGTGGACCTAGAGCAAAGAAGACGCTTAGAGGAACAGCTAAAGGTTGGTTATTTTGATTTAAGTATTAGAAAAGAATATTAACTGGATTTATAATACGTTTAACTGAAACTTTAAAAAATATTAATGATTTTGAATATTCCATAGGAAATTAATAGAAAATTACAAGCAGTGGAATCAGGATTGATTGCCTTATATGAGAGAAACAAACATCTAGAACACAAAGACAATGAACTTAGACAAAAGAAGAAGGAGCTTCTTGAAAGGGAAACCAAGAAAAGGCAACTGGAACAAAAAATTAGTTCTAAACTGGGAAGGTAACTTTCAATCTAATGAGGGGTCAGGGTTGGGATTGGGGGGCAGTGGTGTGGCCACAAAGTGTTTTGAGGGTATTTTTAGTTATACCCTATAGTGACAACACAATTCCCACAAGCATATTTTGTAATAATTTCTTAAACTTTAATCCTACTATCCCAAACAAATTGTCAGTCTACAGGGCAAAGGGAGGTGAATCTCAAGTGTTGTTTCTCTGCTGCCCAATCAGCTGTTCTCATCCCTGGAGCCCTTCCTATGCTTAAAAATTGAGGAACCCCACAAAGTTTTGTTATGTATGTCATGTAAATTGATATTTGCCACATTAGAAATTAAAACTAGGAATGCTTAAAATACTTATGAAGAACAAACTGTTTTCCAAACAAAATACATTTAGCAAGAAGAGTGGCATTGTTTTATAGAAGGTTAGTTGTTTTTTTTATATCTGCTTTTGCATTCAGTCTGTTTTGAGATGTTTTGGCTGAAGTGTTTGAAGAAAATGTGGTCTTTCATAGATAAATATCTAGTTGGGGAAGGAAGGCATACTTCAGTAGACTTCTCAGGTAATTGTGTATGTTCTTCTTTAATACTACATCAAATCTTGCCAAGGTGTAGTTTGTTCAAGTTTAGTTACAGCGTGGAATCTGAACTCATCAGTGAGTATCATTATTTTAAAATCCATTGTATTTTAGGGGATCATTTACCCATGAATGGTTTTGTTACATCATGAATTTGGAAAATAATTGGTCACCAAGTCATGTAGATCTTTTAAATATTGATAACATTTTATTGTGTCAGAAAAATTCATGCCAATCTGCAATCCTATCAGAAAAGCCTTTAAGAATTATGAAGCAGTCAAGCTTTGCGTGATAGATAAAAATTTTCCAAGATCTGAATTTCCACTTGCAAGCTTGAATTTTATCATTGGCAACAAATACTGTCAGTTATTTTCCTTGAATGATTACCTTGCTTCATTTACTTTTGGGGGAAAAATGCTTGCCAGATACCTCAGGTCTGAATAACCATAACTTGTCTGTGATTCTTTGGAGTAAAAATGATATTCAGTCATCCAAGTGCTTTCCTTGTGACTACCATCCTGCTTTGGTATGCAGCAGAAGTGCTTTTTAAGTACTCTATATTTCATCATGCTGAATATTAAAAAGACTACTCAGTAGTTGCTGGGGAAGGTGGCTCAAGATAGCAGCATAGGAAGATCTTGAGCTTACCTCCTCCCATGGACATAACAGATCTACAGCTACCCATGAAACAAAACAGTTCTTTCTGAAAACTATTTGAGCTATTTGAGTACCTCCTGCAAAGCAAAGGATAAAAGGGCACATCAACACATGTGGGAAAGACAAGAGATCTAGTCTTGCCAAAAATCCTACCCCCAGTCCAGCAACAACAGTCAGGAGGGATATCACAAATATAGACTTTATTCCTGAGGAGAGCTGGGTTTGTGCCCCATATCAGGCACCTCAAGCCTTGGGACCTGTGCTGGAGAGTTGAGCCCCCAAAACATCTGGCTTTGAAAACCAGCAGGACTTAGATCCAGGAGAACCATAGGGCTGTAGGGATCAGAGATTCTGCTCTTAAAGGGCTCATGAGAAGATATACTGGCCCCAGGATGTAGTGCAAAAGCAAGGTTGAAAAGCACCTAGACTATCTCTGAAAGAGATTCATTTGCTAGTCTTTTAAAGCATCTGCTCAAGGGGCAGGAGCCTGTTGGGGCTCCCTGTAGGTACTGAGGTGCTGGCAAATGCCATTTTTGCACTCTCCCTCTAACCTGCTTAGGCTGGTGGATGTGCAGTATTCCTGCAGCCCCTCCAAAGCTGGGCAGCCAAGTGCCCCACCTCCACAGTCCCATCAATGCCAGCGAGCCCACACAAGCCCACTTGGGGAGTGCCTGCCTCTGGTAGTCAGGGAAGACTGCATTTCTGGGCCCTTCAGTTCTGTAACAAATGAAGAGATGGTTCTTGGAAGGCTGCCACCCCAGGGTTTCATACCTTTTGCACAGGGAACTAAAACACTCCCTAGTCTTCCTGTGCAAAAGGCCTTATTTGCTTTGTCTTGGATTGCAGCCTGATAGCCCCACTTCAGAATTACCACATAGCTAGAGGCCACATAAGTTCTCTCAGGGAAGTAGCCTGGAAGATGCCGTATTTGCGCTCTTCCTTGGCCTTGCTATAGCCCCTACACTGATCTGGAGCCTTGATTTTTGCAGCTGTTTACTAAGGGCACACTTCCAGATGGTCTGGTCTGGAGACCAGCAGGACTTACAATTGTGGTCTCATAGGACTGTATATATTTGCATACCTTAAAAGCTGCTGCCTGTGGGTCTAGCTTCCAGTCAAGCTAAAACTAGGGGCAGACTGAAATTCCTCCCTCCAGAATATTCAAATGATTTGGCACTCCTCAACAACTGGAACCTAACAAGAATAAATCACACTGCTTGGACAATCAGAAAGGTTTGAGAGACAACCAAAAGCTACCATGTGTTGAACTGACAACATTCATCTACTGCTTAGAAACCTACATAGAGTCAAGCAAAATGAAGAAACAGGAATATGTTCCAGATGAAAGAACAAGATGAAACCTCAAGGGAGGGGGAAAAACACCCCTAATGAAATGGCAGTAAGTAATTTACCTGATAAAGAGTTCAAAGTGTGGTCATTAAGATGCTCACTGAACTTAGGAGAATGAATGAAGACAGGAAGATGTGCAGAGAAGAGAGAGGAAATATAAGGAACTGCCAAAAAGAAGTCACAGAGCTGAAGAGTACAGTAACTGCAGCAAAAATACATTACAGGGGTTCAACAGCAGATGAGATAAAGCAGAACAGATCAGCACTCTAGAAGACAGAGCTGGAACTCATCCAGCCACAGCAACAAGAAGATGAAAGGATTTTAAAAAATTAATATCTTGACCTATAGGATAATATCAAGAGGAATAACAGTTGCATTTTAGGGGTCCCAGAAGGGGGAGAGAGGAAGGGGGACAGAAGACTTTCCTTGAAGAAATAGTGGTTTAGATCTTACCCTAACCTAGGGAAGAAAAAAAGACATCCAGATCCAAGAAGCCCAGTGAGTAACAAGAAGAGCCAAGATATATTATAATTAAAATGTTAGGTGTTAGAGAATCTTTAAAAACAGCTAGGGAAAAAAAAACTTTTTACTTACAAGGAACCCCCATAACACTAGCAGCAGAAACTTTGCAAGTCAAAAGGGAATGACATGATGTATTCACAGTGTGGAAAGGAAAAAATTTCCATCCAAGAATATTCTACCCAGCAAAGTTGTTATTCTGAATTGAAGGAAAGGCATACAGCTTTCCAGTCAGACAGAAGCTAAAGGAGTTCATCACCATTAACTGACCCTACAAGAAATATTAAAGGGACTTACTCTTGAGAGAGAGGAAAATAATTTTTAAGAAGAAAACACAAGAGTTACAATCTTATTGTTGAGGTAAATATAGTAAAGTTAGTAAATTAATCACTTATAAAGCTAGTATGAAGGTTAAAACACAGAAGTAGTTAGAATAACTACAATCATGAGTTAACAGATACACAGAATAAGGTGTTGTAAAGTGTGACATCTACATGGTATCCACAAAGAAAAACCTACACTAGGTACACAAAAGATGAGAAAGGAATCTTAACATAAAACTATAGAAAGTCATCAGACCAAAAGGAAAGAAAACAAGAAATAGGAACTACAAAGTAGCCCCAAAGCAACCAAATGGCAGTAAGTACACACTATCAGGAATTATTTTAAATGAAATTGGACTAAATTCTCCAACAAGAAGTGGTTAAATGGATTTTTTAAATATACCCATCTGTTTACTGCCTCCAAGAGATTCACTTTAAATGGAAAAAAACACACATACCAAAAGTGAATGGATAGGGAAAGATGCTTCATGCAAATGGAAACCAAAAGAAAGCTGAGGTAGCTGTATTTATGTCAGATAAAATAGATTTTAAAACAAAGACTGTAATAAAAGACAAGGATGGGTGTTACATAAAAGGGCAGTTCAACAAGGGGATATAACATTTAAAAATATTTATGCATCAAACATAGGAGCACCTAAACCAAGTATTAAACTAAAAGGAAAAACTGACAGCAATATAATAATAGTAGAGGACTTTAGCACCCCTCTTACATCAATGGATGGATCTTCCAGACAGGAAATTAGCAAGGAAATACCTATCCTAAATGACAGACCAGATGGACTTAAAAGAGATGCACAGAACATTCCATGCCAAAAATAGCAAAATACACATTTTTCTCAAGTGCACATGGAACATTCTTTAGGATAGATCATATGTTAAGCCACAAAGCAAGTCTCAGCAAATCAAAGAAGACTTAAACATCTTTTCCCGGCCACATGGTATGAAACTAGAAATTAACCACAAGTAGAAAACTGGAAAAAACACAAATATATGGAGATTAAAAAGAATGTTACTGAATAACCAGTGGGTCAGTGAAGAAATTAAAGGAGAGAAAAAACCTGAGACAAATGAAAATACAACATACCAAAAATCTGCGGGATACCACAAAAGTAGTTCTAAAAGGGATGTTTACAGTGATACAGGTCTGCCTTAATAAAAATCTCAAACAATCTAGCCTTGTACCTAAAGGAATTAGAAAAAGAGCAAAGGCCAAAGGAAATAGTAAAAGTAAGAGTTGTACTTCAAAAAGATAAATTTGTCAAAGCCTTAGCTAGTCTAAGAACAGAGCTCAAATAATTAAAATCATATTAAGAGGAGAGCTGAACAGCTAAATAGCAGAGAAATACAAAGGATTATTAGAGACTGCTATAAACAGTTACACCACAAAAAATTCAGCAACCTGAAAGAAGTGGGTAATTCTTAGAAACATACTATTTACCCAGAATGAATCATGAATAGAAAATCTGAACAAATCAATTAATAGTAAGGAGATTGAATCAGTAAAGAAACACCTCCCAACAAGCAAAAACTCAGGACTACGTGGCTTCATTGGTGAATTTTATCAAACATTCAAAGAAGATGTGATGCTTATCTTTCTCATTCAAAAGCTGAAAAGGAAGGAACACTCCCAAAATCATTTTACATGGCCAGAATTACCTTGATGTCAAAACCAGACAAGGACACTACAAATAAATTGCAGGCCAACATCCCTGAAGAATACATGCAAAAATCTTCAGGAAAATATTAGCAATACATTGAAAGGATCATACACCACAATCCAGTGTGATTTATTCCAGCTATATAAGAATTGCTCAATATCAAAGCAATCAATGTAATATAATATACTAACAAAATGAAGGAAAAAATCATATGGTCATCTATATAGATGCAGAAAAAGCCTTTGAGAAAATTGAACATTTATAAAAAAACACTCCAACAAGATGGGTATAGACAAGAGCATATCTCAGTATATTAAAGACTGTATATGACAAGCCCACAGATAGCTGTCATACTTGATGCTGAAAAGCTGAAACTGTTTCACTTAAGATCAGGATATCCACTCACCACTTTTATTAACATACCTTTTGCCAGAGGAATTAGGCAGCAAAGAGAACAGGCATCTAAATTGGAAAGGAAGAGGTAAAACTTCCACTATTTATGGACATGATTTTATATGTAGAAAATCCTGAAGACTCCACCAAAAATCTTTATTCAGTTAGGTTGCAAGAAACAAAATTAGTATGCAAACACCTGTTGCAGTTTTAATCACTAACATGAACTATCAGAGAGTTTAAGAAAACATTTCCATTTGCAATTGCATCAAAAAGAATAAGATATCTAGGAAAAAATTTAACCAAGGAAGTAAAAGACCTATATGCTGAAAACTCTAAGACATTGATGAAAGAAATAAGATGACACAAGTACCTAAAAAGGTATTTCATGCTTATGGATTGGAAGAATTAATATTGTTAAAATGCCAAAATTACCCAAAGCAATTTACAGATTCAATGCAATTTCTATGAAAATTCCATTGGCATTTTTCACAGAATTAGAGCAAAGTTCTAAAGTTTGCATAGAACCACAAAAGATACCAGATAGCCAAAGTAATCTTGAAAAGTTAGAACAAAGCTTACAGCATCACACTCCCACCAGATTTCAAACTATATTACTAAACTGTAGCAATCAAAACAGTTTGGTATTGGCATAAAAAGACACACAGATGAATGAAAAAGAATAGAGAGCCCAGAAATAAACCCATGCATATATGTTCAATTAATTTAGAACAGAGTAAGCAAGAATGTACAATGGGGAAAGGACAGTTTCTTCAATAAATGGTGTTGGGAAAACTGGAAAGCCACATGCACAAGAATGAAAATGAACCACTACTATACATCATGCACAGAAAGTAAAATGGTTTAAAAATTTGAATGTAAGATCAGAAATCATGCAACTCCTAAGGGGGGAAAAACAAGCAGTAAATTCCTTGACATCAATCTTGGCAGTTTTTTCAAAAGTCTGATTCCAAAGGCAATGCCACAAAAGCAAAAAATAAGTAAATGGGACAGTATCAAACCAATAAGCTTCTGCACAGCAAAGGACACTATCAAGAAAATGAAAAGGCAACCTACTGAATGAGAGAAAATATTTGTAAATCATGTATCAGATAAGGTATTAGTATCCAAAACATTTAAAGAACTCCTACAACTCAATAGCAAAAAATAATGTCATTAAAAAATGGACAGAGGATCTGAATAGACATTTTTCCAAAGTAGACATACACATGACCAACAGATAGATGAAAAGATGCTCAACATGATTAATCATCAGGAAATACAAATCACAGCCACATGCCTGTCAGAATGCTATTATCAAAAGGACAAGGGATAACAAGTATTGGTTAGGATGTGGAGAAAAGGGAACCCTTTGTGCAGTGTTGGTGGAAATGTAAATTGGTGCAGCCACTATGGAAAACAGTATGGAGGTTCCTCAAAAATTAAAAATTGAACTACCACATGGTCCAGCAATTCCATTCCAGATATTTTTCCGAAGATAAAACACCAATTCAAAAAGATACCCAATATTCAAGGCCATGTTATTTATAATAGGCAAGGTATAAAAACAACCTAAGTGTCCATCAATGGGTGAATGGATAAAGAAGATGTGGTGTGTACACACACACACACACACACACATACACACACACACACAGAATACTACTCAGCTATGAAAAGAATGAAATCTTGCCATTAGTGACAATATGGACAGAACTTGAGGGCATTATGCTAAGTGAAATAAGACTGACAGGGAAAGACAAATACTCCATGATTTCACTTACATGTGGAATATAAAAATCAAAAGAAAATTTGTAGATAAAGAGAACAGACTATTGGTTTTCAGGGGACAGGAGTTTGTGGGATGGGTTAAAGGGATCAGGAGGTATAAACTTCTGGTTACAAAATAAGTCATGGGGATGTAATGTATAGCCTAGTGACTATAGTTAATAATACTGTATGGCATAACTGAAAGTTGCCAAGAGAGTAGATCTTAAAAGTTCTCATTACAAGAAAAATATATTGTTAAGTGTATGGTGACAAATTTTAATTAGAGTTATTGTCATAATCATTTTGCAGTTTATATGAATACTGAATCATGTTGTACACCTGAAACTAATGCTCTATGTCAATTATACGTCAATAAAAAATTTTAAAAAGACATTCACTCAGTATTTGAGATTTAATAAAATTACTCTTTACTGTTATCAAGGACATTCTTAAGTGACTTGGCATTTTGGGAATTTGAGTGCATGGCAGGGAAGAGTCTATCAACTGAGTGCACTTCGATGCTGCTGCCTTGACTCCTCTAGAGGTGGTGGCATTGTACTCATCATTGCTCTTGCACTATCCATGCAAATGTCAACACAGCAAGAAGACCAAATGCCTGTTACAACCCTTAGAATAGTTCATGGACACCCTGAAATGGTTTCTGTGGACCACACTGAGAACTGTGGACCTGGATGAATATCCAGAATAATAGGTCCATTGAATCTGGAATGCTGGGAGAGGGGAGGGGAAGGTATAGGCAGTGAGATTATCAAACTAGTCTGTTTTCTCATCAGTTCTGAAAGAATAATAGAGTTTAACCTCAGGGTTTATCTCATTCCTTCAGTTGAAATCTCCCATGTTACAATTAGGATTATGTTATCTTGGCCTTAATGGCCACATATTCCACAGAACGCCATGCAAAATGTGAATAGTCTCAAAAGCCTTTTCCTAAAGGAAAACTGCAAGCTTACTGTGAGCACCCAGGAAACCATTCTCAGAATGGATTATAAGTTCTATTTTGAATTTTGGTATTTTACCAAAACTGGAGTATGTAAAGCTATTGGAGTGTTCAGTCTAGGGGAAAGGAACATGGCTTCCAGTTTCAAGGTTTTTCCCATGTCCTACCATAACACAGCTCAGACCTTTCTGTTATAATTGTTCTTTTTACACTTCTTTCCTTTAAAGTGAAGATATAGCTGTTAATGGCATAATCTTTAGTAAATAACTGCTCATTGCCTTGAGTGAGGTATAAGTTCACCTTGCTTGGTCTAATGTATATATTTCTAGATACATTTCAAATTAAAACATTTGGAAATGCATTAAGAAAATCTGTTCTTTACTGTTGCTTTTTTTTAAAGTCAATTGTCCATTAGCTTTTATTTAAAAAAAATAATGTACACTGGTTGCTTAAAGCACTATTAGTTATTATTAGCAATTATTAGTCTGTTTAGTTGCAAAGAATTTTTTTCAACTTCAAGCAATTTTTTCAACCTTAATCTTTTGTTCTTTCCTATCTTCAGTCATCTACAAGACACTTAACCTGTACTGTCTGACTGCTGTATGACCCTGTTACCTAAAACTAAACTTTCTATTCATAAAGTAACAATTTTTGTAGTGAAATGACCTTTTGCACTCATTACCTGCCTATCTCATACTTGTAGTTACTTGCTTTGGAATACTGTGGTAGAGACCTGGTTAGTGGTCTCTTCCTGACTAGTCCCCTCTCCATTCAAAGCATCCAGAATACTTTATCTTCTTTTCATGTTTCTACCCCATTCAAGAATATCTGTTGTAGCTTTCTACTATTACTACCCAAAATTTAATTAAATACTACACTCCCCTAGATTGACTTTCAGGTTTTTGATTACTCTTTTCACTCTGCCCAATTCCAACTTACATCCTAGCATCCACAGCACTCCTCCTTCTGCCATTCACACCACTCTCCCCAGCATCCACTGAACATGTTTATTCTGTGTTCTTACTTTTATCCCAGAGGCAATATGGTAGAAGTTAGAATTTGCTATCAAACACATCTTACTACGTAATACTTGTGATCTTATTAACTTCTGAGCCTTGATTTCTTCATCTGAAAGAACAAAGTATTCTCAGATTATTTTATTGTCTTTTTGTTTTTTTTTTTTTACCCATTAATCAAATCTCCCTAGTTAAGCTCCTTAAGGGAAGGGACTGTGTTTATAAACAATATTAATGACTAATAATAAATAATATTTATCAATCATTGAGGGGCAGGCACTATACTTGAGTGTGTTACATTTTACCTTTTTAGTAATTCCATCACACCTTGGTTAAAGTACTGTTAATCACTTCCAGTTTACATTCATGACAAGGAGGAAATTCAGATCCATCATCCAGATCCTATGGCATTAGCACTACCATTATCTAGACTATGCTGAGCACATAATATGTGTTGAGAAATACTTTTTGATCCTGAGTAGTTGTATAAAATGTTTAATCAAGAAGCTAGCAGTAGCACTGCCAAGTAGCCCATAGAACAGGAGGGGACCTGAGCATTTGGGTACCGTCCTTGTGTTAACTCTGATTTCTGCACTATTATGTGTTTCATACAGTTTAAAGCTGATGGAACAAGATACTTGCAACCTTGAAGAGGAAGAGCGAAAAGCAAGTACCAAAATCAAAGAAATAAATGTTCAGAAAGCAAAACTTGTTACTGAACTAACAAACCTTTTAAAGGTAAGGCATTTTCTTATTACTCATTTTTTAAAGCCGATAGTAAAACCTTAGCAAGAAATTTTTATTGATAATTTTTGCTTGCTCTGTTTGATGTTTCTCATTTTAGGTCAATAAATTAGTTACAAGCCTTTATTAAGCTAAATTATTTCAGATTTTATCCAGTTAAATACACAAGAAAACTTAATTCTCTTGAAAGATAGTTCATGGTTTATAATATTTTTATAAAACTCATTATTATTAGTTGTAAAACAAATTGAACTCTTAGGGGTTTTTGTTCCTAGATCTGTACTTCTCTGCATATACAAAAGGTAGATTTAATTCTTCAAAATACTACAGTGATATCTGAGAAGAACAAATTGGAATCAGATTATATGGCTGCCTCATCACAGTTACGTGTCACTGAGGTAAGACTTTTGCTTTCATTTTGGGGTTCTAGCCTCAGACCAGTTTGAAAACATACACATGTCATCACTTGAAATGTGCAGTTTGTCATGTACTCTTTAGTTTATGAATTTAATGCATCTTGCTGATGAGGAAGCAATATTTGAAACACTTTGCGCTGTGGGGCAAAGGGTGGTGATAATCTAAAGAGATACTACGGTGTCTGATGTAGTCATCTGAAAAACCAGAGTTTCCTGTGCTCTCTTAATCTCTGTAAATATAGCCATTGCCATTATGAAATAGCAACTAGTAGCTTGTACTGCCGGTTGATCCCATAAGCTGCAAGTTTTAAGCAACACTAAGAGAAGTCTTGCTACAGAATCTTGGGGAGTAAACCATGTGTTAATATCTGTCTGTGAAGTGGTGAGTATTGAAATAGTGCTCACAAGGAGAAATGTGCTGAACTAAGTTAATATAAATCCCAAAGAACTGGCAACAAAATGGTAGTAACAGTGACAGTGGCATAGTTTCTCAGTCTTCCAGATCCTTTCCCAAAAATAGAGCCACTAGAATAACAAGACAACAAGTATCACAGAGTTTGACGGTTTCTCCACTGGTGTACTACAGTGTATTGTCACACTGACCATCCAAAGTTAGAAGAAACAGCTGAGTAAAATACCTCTGTATTTACTAAAGAAATTAAATTTGTGGTCAAAAACTTTCCAATGATAAAAACTCCAGTTCCTGAGGCTTCACTGATGAGTTCTACCAACCTTTCAAAGGGAGGATTAATACCAGTTCCACCTAAAGTCTTCAAAAGTTAAAGACAAGGGAAATACTTCTGGGCACAGTGTGTGAGGCCAGTATTCTTATCAAAATCAGACAAAGACAAGTAAACAAAACTACAGACCACTATCTCTCATGAACACAGATGCAAAAATTCAAAGGAATTCAAAATGTTAGAGAAATGGATTCAAGATGGCGGCATGAATGGTGAGACAGACAACTCCTCCCAAAACCACATATAAGAAAATATAGTTAATACAACTAATCCTTAAAGAGCAACAGGAAAGAAGGCTGCACCAGACTGCATACACCTGGAGAACAGAGCAGACCTCATGAAACAGGGTAACGTACCAAAGCCTTGATCTGGCGGGACCCAAGCCCCTCCCCCACCTCAGCTCACTGGTGGGAGGAAGAGAAACAGAGCAGGGATGGGGTGGAAGCCTGGGACTACTGAACACCCAGCCCTGGAGATCTGCTTTGGGAGCACAAACCTACATTGCATGGTGCTGTGGAGATTAGTGGTGTTGGAAAGCTAAGACAGGCAGAACACTTGGAGAGACTGAGATTCCAGCCATTTGGGGAGGAACGGGATCCACATCCAGCTGCTCTGGGACAAATGAAAGGCAGGCAGTCTAACAGCCTTGCTAGCAGTGAGAGGGCTGCTCAAGGGGCAGGGTTTGCACAGAGCTTGCTGCATGGGAGAAGGGATGGAGTGGACAAGGTTAGGCACACTCTGCTCAGCAGGTTGGAAACTTTCAGGAACTTCAGGCACTCCATCCCCCTGGCTGGCTACTCACCTCTGAGGACCCCCAATGTGATACACACACAGCCTGCTGTGTCTTCCTCCTGGCCTGCCGGCACTGGCTTGCAAACCAGCAGTCCCTGACCTGAAATCAGGGCAGCCAGAGGGAGGACCCACCTATGGCAGCTACAGACGCAAAGCACAGAAGCTTACACCTGTGTGCTTGGCACACTGGTTCTGACAGTGGAGATAGGCATAGCAGCCAGGAAGCAGGAAACAGCTCTTTCCTCCCCCCAGGCACCAGCGCCACTCCCTTGTGACCCCCTGATGCTTCTCCAGGGGCTGAGCAGCTCCAGAGATTAGAGCTTCTAGGCACTAGAGGGCACCACATACAAATATGAAACATCAAAGGAACTTGGTTCACACCAAAATCTCACAAACACCAGAAAAAGGTCCAAACGAAACTGAACTCACCAATCTTCCTGAAAGAGAATTCAAAATAAAAATCATATCATTCTCATGGAAGTACAGATAAATATTCAAGCACTCAGGGACGAATTTAGGATGGAGATTCAATCATTAAGAAATTCCATATCTGAAATGAAACATACAGTGGAGGGATTTAAAAGCAGATTAGGTATAGTAGAAGAGACAGTAAATGGAATAGAAATTAGGGAAGAGAAATACAAAGGAGCTGAGGCACAGAGAGAAAAAAGGATTTCTAAGAATGAAAAAGTATTTAGAGTACAGTGTGACCAATCCAAACAGAACAATATTCGCATTGTAGGAGTACCAGAAGAAGAGAGAAAAAGGGACAGAAAGTGTCTTTCAGGAGGTAATTGCTGAAAACTTCCCCAATCTGGGGAAGGAGATAGTATCTCAGGCCACGGAAGTGCACAGATATCCCAACACAAGGGACCCAAGGAAGACAACACCAAGACATATATAATTTAAATAGCAAAGATCAAGGATAAGGACAGACTATTAAAAAACAGCTAGAGAGAGAAAAAAGATCACATGCAAAGGAAAGCCCATCAGGCTATCATCAGACTTCTCAGCAGAAACCTTACAGATCAGAAGGGAGTGGCATGATGTACTTAATGCAATGAAGCAGAAGGGCCTGGAACCAAGATTACTTTATCCAGCAAGATTATCATTTAAATTTGAAGGAGGGATTAAAGAATTTCCAGATAATCAAAAGCTGAGAGAATTTACCTCCCACAAACCACCTCCACAGTGCAGGAGCTGGTTCTTTGAGAAAATAAACAAAATAGATAAACCCCTAGCCAGACTTATCAAGAAAAAAAGAGTCTACACACATAAACAGAATCAGAAATGAGAAAGGAAAAATCACTACAGACACCACAGAAATAGAGAGAATTATGAGAGAATACTATGAAAAATTATATGCTAAGAAACTGGGTAAACTAGAAGAAATGGACAACTTTCTAGAAAAATACAACCTTCCAAGGTTGACTAAGGAACATACAGAAAATCTAAATAGACCAAGAATCAGCAAGGAAATTGAATTGGTAATCAAAACCCTACCTAAGAACAAAATTCCTGGACCAGATGGTTCCACTGCTAAATTTTATCAAAACATTTAGTGAAGACCTATTACCCATCCTCCTTAAAGTTTTCCTAAGAGGAGGGAATACTCTCAAACACATTCTACAAGGCTAGCGTCACTCTAATACCAAAATCAGGCAAAGACCCCACATGAAAAGAAAATTATAGACCAGTATACTTGATGAACATAGATGCAAAAATATTCAACAAAATATTAGCAAGCTGAATTCAAAAATACATCAAAAAGATCATCCATCATGATCAAGAAGGATTTACTCCCGGGATGCAAGGATGGTACAATATTAGAAAATTCATCAATAAAAAGGAGGACAAAAACCACATGATCATCTCCATAGATGCTGAAAAAACATTTGACAAAATTTAACATCCATTCATGATAAAAACTCTCAACAAAATGGGTATACAGGGCAAGGACTTCACCATAATAAAGGCCATATATGACAAACCCACACCCAGCATGATACTTAACAGTGAGAAGCCGAAAGCCTTTCCTTTAAGATTGGGAACAAGACAGGGATGCCCATTCTCCCCACTTTTATTCAATGTAGTTCTGGAGGTCCTAGCCACAGCAATCAGACAACACAAAGAAATAAAAGGCATCCAGATTGGCAAGGAAGAAGTTAAACTGTCAATCTTTGCAGATGACATGATATTGTACATAAAAAAACCTAAAGAATTCACTCCAAAACTATTAGATCTAATATCTGATTGCAGCAAAGTTGAAGGATACAAAATTAATACACAGAAATCTGTGGCTTTCCTATACACTAACAATGAACTAGCAGAAAGAGAAATCAGGAAAAAAATTGTATTTGCAATTGCATCAAAAAGAATAAAATAGCTAGGAATAAACTTAGCCAAGGAAGTGAAAGACCTATACTACTCTGAAAACTACAAGACACTCATGAGAGAAATTAAAGAAGATACCAATAAATGGAAACAAATCCTGTGCTCATGGATAGGAACAATTAATATTGTCAAAATGGCCATTCTGCCTAAAGCAATCTACAGATTCAGTTGAATCCCTATGAAGATACCAACAGCATTTTTTCACTGAACTAGAGCAAATAGTTCTAAAATTCATATGGAACCATAGAAGACCCCAAATAGCCAAAGCAATTCTGAGAAAGAAGAGTAAAAATGGCTGCATTGCGCTCCCCAACTTCAAGCTCTACTACAAAGCCACAGTAATCAAGACATTTTGGTACTGGCGCAAGAACACACGCATAGATCAATGGAACAGACTGGAGAGCCCAGATATAAACCCAAGCATATATGGTCAATAAATATACGATAAAGGAGCCATGGATATGTAATGGGGAAATGACAGCCTCTTTAACAACTGGTGTTGTCAAAACTGGACAGCTACATGCAAGAGAATGAAACTGGATTATTGTGTAACCCCATACACAGAAGTAAACTCAAAATGGATCAAAGACCTTTGTGTCATAAAACCATAAACCCTTAGAAAAAAAGATAGGCAAAAATCTCTTGAATATAAACATGAGCAACTTTTTCCTGAACGCACCTTATCAGGCAAGGGAAACAAAATAAAAAATGAACAAATGGGACTACATCATGCTAGAAAGCTTCTTTTCTATACAGCAAAGGACACCACCAGTGGAACAGAAAGGCATCCTACAGTATGGGAGAATGTATTTGTAAATGACATATTCAGCAAGGAGTTAACATCCAAAATATATAAAGAACTCACACGCCTCAACACCCAAAACGCATATAACCCTTTTTAAAAATGGGCAGAGGATATGAACAGACCCTTCTCCAAAGAGGGAATTCAGGTGGCCAACAGGCACATGAAAAGATGCTCCATATTGCTAACTATCAGGGAAATGTAAATTAAAACCACATCAAGATATCACCTCACACCAATTAGGATGGCCAACA